ATGATTAAGTGGGTGGATTGAAACTAAGATTTTTATTTGAAGAAGATCAGAGAGAGAGAGAGAGAGAGAGAGAGAGAGAGAGAGAGAGAATTTCTACTTGAAAACAAGAACAAGAGGGAGAGAAAGAGTGAGATATAGATGGAGGACATAGAGAACGAGAGGGCTAATAGAGAGAGAGAGAGGTAGAGAAAAAGGAGAGAGATTGCGGATGCAAGGTTATTTGTTTAGGTTATCTCTATTTGATTCTCTGTTTTTATTCAATTTTTTCTAATTATTTTTCTTCGTGGCAGTGGTGTTTATCTCAATTGTAAGTTATCTCGTGAAATGGCAGATAAGTTTTGTGCTGATTGGATGAACTGTTCTGCCGGCACGGTGATTTGTGTAATTAGATGGAGTATCATTAATATTCATGGAGGTATTATAATTTGTGTTATATTATTATATACTGCTTTGTTTTAATAACATTATCGTGATTAATTTAGTTTTTACAATTTTGGGATAGAAAATGTTACCATTTCATCTATGCTTCCTACCCAGTTTGTACTGAATCATCTAGTTGTCGAGGTTGATGATTTCAAGTCGAGGTTAATTTTGTGATTTACCCTTGGAGTGTGTTAATCATAATATATGTGTTGTTCATACTCTGACTCTTTATTTGAACATATATGCGTTGTTTATTACACATTGTGGGCATTTGATGAGTTGTTGTTTGTCTGCATTGTAGTCTACTAAAAAAAGACCAATGGCAGAAGACATGGAGAGACCTAACGATGAGTTAATACATCGAAGGAGTGATATGGCTTTTGGAAAGGGAGCGAGGGGATCCCGGGTGGTTTAAGATTAGATCTTCTAAGAGATCTCTCTGTGTTATTTTATTGTTAGGGTTATTTCATGGTGATTTCTTAGAATTATTTTATTTTGTATCAAGAGATTGTTCAATTCATTGTTTTTGATTTTTGTTTTGGTAATAAATAAAAATATGAAATATTGTTAATCACTTTATTGGATGAACAGTATGTTTATATCAGGCAAGTGGAGAAAATTAGTAATTACCTCATTCAGTCATCTAGGTCATAATCCTTTTGTATATTTTGTTTTTACTGTTTTGCAGCATGGTTGCATTGTTGAGTGGGATTTTTTTGAAGAAGCTGCACAGAAGAGATAAGTTCGCAAAAGCTTAACACTATGTTCGGAAAAGTGATACGCAGAACAAAGGAATTAGACCCTAAAAATAGCTTTAAGGATTAAAGAGCAAACTCGAAAAGATCAATGCATAAAGCCCTACTCAAGATAAGAATAGGGTTTTAGGTAGTTTAGATGTTTTACTTTTTACATTATCTATTTTTTAACCTTTTTGATACTTTATTCGATTTAATTGAAATTATATATTTTTTTGAGTTTTCACTGTAAATAAACATGTACATATATATATCTATGTATATTCGATAGATGTGAATATTATAATTTTATATATAAATTTTCTAATTAAGATAGTTTATGTGTTATTAACTGTTAATCGAACTGAAATTTCCTAATCGTTGTAGATCGTATCTATCTACATATGGTTCAATACGAAACCTTTATTATTCTGGTAGTTTGGTATAAATGCTTCTTATGTTTCGCTGTTTCAATGCGTTCTACTACAATGGCCTACTAATAAACATATAATAATCCCTAACTTTTTGTCAACTTACGCAAAAAGGATTCACGTGTAATCCAGCATCTTTTGATGTTTCACAGTTATGTCCTGGTTTTGTCGAGACAACCGTTTTGGTGAAGGTTCTACGAGTGTGGACTAATTCGTTTGATCCATCTGATATAATATTGGAAGTATTTTTTTGCGATGATAAAGTTTTAGTTTATGTGGTGTGGTTTCGTACGTGGGTATTTCATTGTTTGTTTTATTGTTATGTCGCATGGTGTGAACATCTGTGGTACCGTTTACGCTGGTGATTACGATCGTTTCTCTCCTCAGTTATGCGAGGGTATTTGGATTATAATTAAGAAGTTTGTTGTTATTGATGTGGATCAACCTTTTGGAATTACACCTCATTGTATTCTCTCACTTATTGTGAGTTTGACTGTTGTGGATAGGTAAGATTATCTGTGTGAACAGAATTTCTTTAAATTTGTATACTTTGAGCAGGTTCTCAACAAGATTCCTATCGAATTTTTTTCAGTTGGTATGTTAATTTACTGTCTATGTGTTTGTTTTCTGTAGATTTTGACACTAATATAATTTTGTTTTAAATATTGAGTGTTTCAGTTTTGGATATTTTTAGGTTTGATTGGAGAAGGTTTCAATGTTGGAAAAGTTAGAAATTCCTACCAAACACTGTATTGATAAGGGGTTTAGTGAATATGTAATGCTCGCATTCGAGCTGGGGTATCTGAGGCCTGTTGCTGTAACTAATGATTTGTTTATTGGGATTTTGTTTATTGTCATTATACATACATTCCTTCATTTATGCAGCAACGTTTGTATAATATGCGAGATGTTTGACAGCGATACTCATATTTAGTTGTGCCGATGATACGATGGTTTTTGTTGCAAGATAGGCAATTGTTGATGTCTATGAAGGTTTGCGAGATTTGTTATTTTTTTTTGTTGTTGTTTAAAATGAATTTGTTTTACAACTTTCGATTATCTATATTTAGGTTAAGTTGTTATATCTTCTATGCATCCCACTGTGATCATGGTGAACTTTCGCCTTGCAGAAGTAACCGAATTTAGATCCATGTAAGTTTATCTATTAACTTTGAGTTTCTTCTCTTGATTGTATTTTTGAGTAGTTGTTTTAAAATGTTTTTCAGGGTACCAAAGAAGCGTTTGAGTATAGATGTCGAGTTGAAAACTCAAAACCCCTGAAGCAAAGATCTAATTTTTAGTTTTAGTGTATTTTTATTTCAGCTTTTGTTAAGCGATAAATTTCTAATTATAAAAAAACAAAAGAAAACTTTGTTTATATTCTTATATCCTAAATATGATAACTTTAGAGACGAAAAATATTGATTCTGCTATTTGCGTTGATATATCTTTATTGTTTGCGATAAATTATTCATGCTATTATGACAAGTCGCCAATATTGGTAACTTCTCTACGCTTATGGGGTTGCCTTCACATTTGAAAAAGAATAATTTATGATTTGATCTAATGAATCAAAGGTACCGTTATACATAATTTCCATATTATTATCATATTTATTCCAATGTTGTTTAGAGATTGTCATACTATTGTAAGTTTATCGGAAGATGAAAAAAAATTAATTGCACTCAAAATGAAAAAAAACATATTATAGATATATATGTATAATATAGATATATTCTATAAGTATATATATATATGTATTATATATTTTCCTAATGGTATTATAACTATACTGGATATTGACCATCTTTTTCTATATATTTCTTGATTTACCTTACACTTTGATATTATTCACGTTTGGAAATCAAAGAAACTCATGCTCACTTGCTTTCGATAAGTATTTATCAAAAATTCGATAAGGTTCGTACAAAGTGTCCGAATTAGATCCGTTCAACCACATATGGAGTGTCCGGGTCAAGGTTCTCCGTATATTCAAACACTTGGTCGGGTTAGAGACTTGTTTAATATGGTTTTGGTTGATGACAAAGTAATTGGTTGTTTTCTCACGTAGTCATTCCATATGCTCGTCTGATTTTCTGGAGAGGTTTAATCCCGAAACCGCTTGTCGTATTGGTGAAGGGTGATAAAAGTCATGCAGTATTATGCGAAGATATTGAATACATATTTTTGGCGCAAATTTTTTGAGGGTGATTGGATTGTGTTGTTTGATTTTGAACTTATGCCTGTTGTTGGAGAGTTTCGACCGAGCATGCAAAAGATTAGGATTATTTGTTAGGCATGTACGATGTTTGTTATGGCTCCTCCCAGGGATATTGACAGCCATCTTTCTTTCGTGGATATCGATGCCATTAGATATAGTCATTTGGATCCTAATGTCTGTGTTGGTGAGTTTAGTTATCTTTAGAAACTTTGATTAATTAAACAAAATTACTCATATAGTGTTTATATTTCAGAGGTAATCGATTGAGTTGTTAATATTGAGCATTTTAGAGGCCGTCATGCTCTTGGTTCTGATAAGCAAACTGATATATCTTTTGAGCTTGTGGATGAACGGTATGTTTTTCTATTTTTTTAATAATTATGATTCACGGATTTATTTGGTTGATAGTTTTGTTAATTCTATTACCTGGTATGACAATGGTTCGCGTTTACCAATACTTTTGAAAAGAGAATATTCAGTGGTCTTTTTGGAAGCTTGGTCTATATGCAATCAGCAAGTCGCTATTTGTATAATGAGGTTTGTGTCGATTATTCGAAGGAAAGGTTTTTGGAGAGTATAAATCCTAAAGTGATGTAATCTTGAAAAGATTTGGAGAGTAAAAATGAACTAATCATTTAAGAGTTGGAGAGTAAAAATGAACTAATCATTTACATCAAAATAAGTAAAGCGTTGAGAAGGAGAAATAATGTTTGACTTCTCTTCTCGATTATGGAATAATTTGTTAAACGGTTCTATGAGTCTTCTATGCTCTTCTTCTTGATTTTCTATGCTCTTCTTCTAGATTTTCTCCTTCTTGCTTTATTCTTTTCTTGTTTTTGTTTTTAACTAATATAATTTGTGTTTGTTATCATCAATGCTATGATATAACTAATTTTTTATTATAAATAAGTAAAATGTAAATCAAATAAAATAATTTGCTTATTAACATGTGAATATTTTACTCATATTTTTAGAAATTACAAAGTAAATACATTTTTGTTAATAAAATTAAAACCTTTTTTGAACTTTTAACAAAATAAAATAAAGTAATTAAAACCTTATTAGGTACACGGTAGTGGAGACATTAATCATGACTAACATAATAGTAAGCATGTTGCACCCACTTGGCCATAAACTCAAGTTTACAAATTCGAACCTCTCTTATAACATAATTTTGGATATTCATGTGTGTATAAATCGACAACAGATCCAGAAAACAGAATTACCTAAAAAATTTATTTCATTAATGCATTAGAAGTTACATAATAAACTATGCATTTTTCTTTAACAACTACATACTCCCTTCCTACAATAAGGTCCTGGTGTATTACAACGAACAAGTTTCCTACAATCTATATCCATTTGACAAGAAAAATGGAAACACGTTCCTCCACTTCCATCACCACACCATATACCGAAAGGGGATTTGCATTCATCTTTCGAGACGCATAGTGGCAAAGCTCTTGCTACATCGGATACAAGCAACATGATTGTGCCTACAAAAGAAATGATTTAGTCAAGATATTTAAACATGCTTAGTCAACATATTTAAACATGCTTTGGAGTTTATTTAGTTTTAATATAGAGATATAACCAGAGCAAAGAACTCACAAAATATCATAAAAGACAGGAGGAGAAATGATGTTGATCTTGACGCCATTTTGTTTATTCAGAATAGATGGAGAAAAATGTTTAACTCTGAATTTTGTTTTTTTTGACGTTTTAATGGATCATATAAATATTAATTGTTGAAACATTTCATGTAGTCTTTGAAATGTTCTCCTTTCTTCCTCATTGCTTATCCGGTAACACATGGTAATATTTCATGGAATTTTGCTTAACTAGCCATTCATATAAGATTTATTTCCATAAATATCTTTCATACAAAAATTAAATTAAATAAAATAATAAGAAATTTACTGCTTATGTTGGGTATTATAAATACAAAGTCATAAAATACATGCATATTTACGTATATTTCTTAAATTTCCAAATTTCCAAATCTTTCTATGCCTCATTGTATATTTCTAAACTTTTCATTTTTCCAAATTTTTTCTTTACCAAATTTCTGAACTTCCAAAAACAAATTCCAAATTGGTAAAAAATTGCATTTCATGGAATTTCATTGCCATTCATATAAGATTTATTTCCTTCATCTCTTTCATTTCAAAATTAAATTAGAAAATTAAAAAAGCAATATGTCATAGGTGAAATATTAAAATTATAGTGTTTCCTACATAACTTGGTAGCATTATTGTTTTTAATATCATTTAACAATATTCTTTGATGTCCCACATACAATATCATATTGTTTTGTTAGAAAGAAAAAATAAAAACTGCTCGAAAAATTTCTCTATGTACATATATATCCAATAAGAAGAAGAAGTCTTTGTTTTTATTTTTACTAGGTATATACCGGAGCTACGCTGCAGGATATATTTCTAAATTGTGTATATATTTTTAATATAATAAAATTATTTTTATAATGTAAATGAGTATTATATTTATGTTTATTAGCTTAAGTTATATATTTATATGTTTTAAATCTGAATAAACATTATATATCTTTAAATTTTTTTATTTTTCAAAATTATAATCTACTATCAAATTTATTTAGCTAACTATCTATAAATGTATATGTAAGAATAAAACAATACATTTTTAAGTACATTTATGCTAATGGCAAATGTAATTTGTTATCTCTACTAAATTGCCACTTGATCCGTCTTTGAAATTATATAAAGCAAATTGACATTTAAAAAAAACTGAGAAATCGCACTTTCCGACAAAACAAAAAAATTTCATTTCACCTATTCCTGCCAAAACCAAAAACATTCATTTTCTCGTCAAACTTAAAATTTCATTTTCACACCAAAACAAAAAAATTGCATTTTCCCGCAAAAACCAAAAAATCACATTTTCCTGTGAGAACCTGTGTTTTTCCATCAAAACAGAGAAATCAAGTTTTTTCACCAAGACCAAAAAATTCATTTTTCCATAAAAACTTAGAAATCGTCAATTTTCGCAAAAAAATCATCAAACTAAAAATCAGGCCTTTCTACCAAAACTGATAAACTACAATTTTCCACGAAAACCAAAAATTACATTATCTCCTGAGAAATTTTGTTTTCCGTGAAAACTAAAAAATCGCATTTTACCACGAAAACCAAAAAATCATATTATATGTCAAAAAACTGAAAATTTGTATTTTCCATCAAAACCGAGAAATTGCTTATTCCTTCCAAAATCGAGAAATTTTGTATTACCCTCAAACTGAGAAATTGCATTTTTCGCCAAAATTACAATTTCCCACAAAAACTAAGAAATCACATTTTCCCGAAAAAAATCAAAAAATCACATTATCCATCAAAAGCCAAAAATTTGCATTTCATATCAAAACCAAGAAATCGTATTTTTGTCAATTGAAAAGTTGCATTTTCCTCGCATTTTTTCGTCAAAACTAAGATATTTTATTTTCGCGTCAATTTTTTTTTTTCTCACCAAAACCAAAAATTCACATTTTTCCGCTAAACCCGATAATTCATTTTTTGCCCCATAACCAAGAAATTAAGTTTTTCTAGCAAAACTAAAAATCACATTTTCCTACCGTAACCAAAGAGTTCCCTATTCCCGCTAAAACCATGAAAATGTTTTCAGAGTAACCACTGGAAATGCGAATCTTCAAGTTATGGTGGTCTGAGCTTCTCCTCATTTGCTTTCGACTTCTATTTTTTTGTAAAATTTTAGGCTTTTTAATGGGTCTGCAAAATAGTAAACTGATTTTATTAGTGTGTGAATGATATGTATTATTGTTATGTTTTTATTGGTTCAAATTTTTGCTGATGTGTGAGCTTATTATAACATAAGGCTTTTTGCGTTGTTGTTATGGAAACATAGTTGATGATGAGCCTACACTTTTTCAATCATATACGTCTCTCTCGAAAAAACAAATAGCTAAAAATATTTTATTTATTTGCTGTTAATTATTATTTGGGTTTGGCAAAAAATAAAACAAAGATTTAATTTTTTTTTATTTGCTGTTATTTATTATTTGAGCTTGGATTTGACAAATAATAAAACAAAGATTTTTTTTATTTGATGTTGTTTATTATTTGGGCTTTGATTTTTTAAAAAATAAAACAAATTATTAACAAAAAAATGTATTTGGGTTTTTAATGGGTTTAAATTGAAAAATTGAAAAAAGTAGATGAGTTGTATTAATTTTTTAATTTGATTGGTTTGTAAAATAGATGAGGTGTCAGCTTCTCAAAGATTAAAAAATCTGATGTGTCAACTTATGGAGAGACTTGAGTGTTATTGTTGTATTGATTATCATCACAAAGAAAAAATATAAAACTTTTGAATTTCTAAATTCTCTAACCATCAAGCAGTGACATTGTGAATTAACAGAGCCAATCTTTCCGAAAACACAAGTAAGCCTGTCTTCACAGTCACTTATTGTCTTGCACGGTAATGGTATCTGCAGGGTTTAGGCTAGGCCTTTTCTGCTTGAGAGTTGTGAAATTAGCAGACACTAACACAGAGAGTCTACACATTTGACGTACCTTTTGAACATCTTGAAAATTACGTACTGTCAAGTAGCTATGATACTTTACCTGCGTTCCGGCTTTAGGTATGCTTACTAATATCATATATAACTAGGGATGTTTCCGCGCTACGCGCAGATTGTTTTTATAAATATTTGATTATTATTTAAAGTAAATTATATAATAATAAAATTAATATTTTAAATATAATATTTTATTTGCAATATTTTTGACTTGGTTATAGATCAAAATATTTTTAACCTATTCAAAAAATGTATTATGATTTAATTTAAAAATTTACTAACTTGATATATGTGAAAATTAACTGTTAATATAAAACTTAAAATTTCTATATAAACTTGTACAATAACTTTCAAATTATTATGAAAATAAATCTTGGTTTAAATAAATTTAATATATAATTGAATTCAACAACTATAAGTTTTCTCTTTATTTAATTTAAAATATTTTTTATTTTAAATATAAAAAAACAACTTATCAAAAACATATGACTACAACTGAAGCACCTGATTATTGTTCCAGTTAATTTGGATTTTTTTTTCATTTCAATTATATATGTGTAATTATTTTTTTCATTAGCAGTCTCAAATACAAAACAACAGTCAATATTTAAAACTCTTACAAATCCCTAAAAGAACTATTGTTCATATAAATAAAAAATCATTTACATAGTATACAAAATCACAATCATATTGATAAACTGTAATTTTGATTTGATCCCTGAAGCATCTATGAACTATTGAATTTGTACATTTACATTTATCATATACAAATAGAGTATCCTTAATATACAACATTAATCATATATTAAACATATAAAATGTTTTGTGCCCACATATGTAAAATACAGTTGTGTTAATTTTTTTAAAAAATATTTATTCGTTATATATATACAATGTACGTTTGTAAAAGTCGAATGTTTTAGATTTTTCTAAATTTTGAATATTTTCAATTTTGTTTTAAAAATGACTATTTTGTAACTTTGTTTCTATTGACTGTTATTTAAGTCTTTTGCAGCAATTTGTTTTCTAAAATATTTTATGTGTATTTCAAAAAAACTAAAATGAGAGTTTTTTTATTATTTTGTGGATGGACTTCATATCTCATAATATTATATGTTATCAATTTTTAGTTTAAACGTGTGATTATTATTAATTTGGACTGTAAAAATGTTAAATATTAAACATATAAGTAAATTTTCTTTTTGTTAAAATTAGGTTATATGTCATATATTTTTGTTACTACAATATATACAATTTAATCAATATTCAAATATTACTATTACTGTTGAATAAATACTATTTAATTTTAAGCATGTTATAAATATATTAAAGAATTTTTTTTTAGAAGTCTGCTGATGTGGCAAGATTATATAGAGATTTTTTTTTTGCTGATGTGGATGGTTTAAGGCGCCCCAAAGAGTTCCTTTCATTTAGTATAGATATCGAGACATTGATTCGTTAACTAATGATTCAAAACCACATTGATTCATTAGATTTAGTTTGTTATTATAGATGATTAGAGAGATGAGATAGACTTACATGTAAGAAATATTGAGATGAATGGGAGAAAAATAGCTTTCGATGACTACGTTGATTGATACAAATTTTTTTATCTTATAATTCAATTTCTCAAGTCTTAAATCATGTCATTATAGTACTTAGAGATTATCAATCCTTCATGGGGATGTTGTAATGAAGATGCAGAAGCTTGTTAAGCTAAACCAAAAAAGGTTTAAAAAGTTTAGCAACCAAGTAACACAAACAAGGAAACTAAAGAGTTCAAACCATGAATATTAAAGAGCTTAAAAGTAAACAAGGCAAGTGCAATAATGAACAATAAAAACAGAGGAAAACAGAGCAATTACTAAACAAATTCGAAATCTAAAGGCAAGGTTCAAGACTAAGGCAATATGACTTAAGTGGTTCTAAATCATGTTCAAGGTGTGTAAGCAATAATCAATACATTAATCCCTAAGCAAAGACTTCTATTATGGACTAATCTAATTCCATGGTACTAATCCTTTTGTCTTATCACATTTAAAACCCATGGCCAATGGTGTATATATGACAAGCAAGCATTCAATCACAAGGTCTATAAAGCCAAAAAGAAACTTAAACAACTAATCCTTTAGGCTAAGATCAATAATCTCTTGTGCAATGGATCAAACATCAACTCACATTCTCATGCATAATCAACATTTAAAGGCAACTTCTCCACCAATGTGATATTAAGCATTAAGTACATTCAAGAAAGAAATGATTGATGCAAAGACTTATGA